GTAACATTTTTTCTTCGAGGGCTTCGTTAGAAAGATACGGGGCGTTTAGGTTTAAAAATAAAAAACTTAATATCTTCAAAACCGTCAACTAAAATTTGGTATATGAATTTACCTAAGTATTGTTGTCCACATTCAAAATTCTTTACTTAAACTTAACGTGCACCAGTAGCGGAGATACAGGGGATTAGTGTCATTATTTTAAAAATATAAATAGTATGCCACTGCTACAAACAGTTACTCTTGTATTTTTTATTTTTAAACTTCAACACCCCGTATCTTTTTAATGAAGCCCTCGAGGAAATAATGTTACATAGAAGACCTCCCTAAAAATGCGGCCCTGTGTATGATGTTTCATTTTTAGTCACGACTTGTGGATCACCCGGTATAGAGCACAAAAGGTGGTGTCCCAATTAAATATAAAAAATATCCCACGAAACACCCCTACGATGAATCAGGCTCCTTGGGGATAGTACTGGAAATCAGTCTTTAATAAGTTTTAAGCGTCATATTACAATTCAACAAAGTTTTGACAGCCTAGTAACCATTTATCGTAACACGTAGCAGTACCTCTGGAAGACAATAGTTAACCGAACAAGATCGCCAGACGCGTGCTAGCCTTGACGCAGTGTTGCTATTTTTACACCGCGCGTTATATGGCTCAGCAATCGCATTCTTGGTCGTTAAGTAAAAACATTTGTACTCTTGTTCGACATCATTAAAATTTTTGATCAAGACGTTCCCATTCCAATCCAGTTTTTAGTATTTTTGGCACAGGATGTAGCACACTAGTTCACCCTTTTTAAAATATAGTCATTTTGATTACATATTTGATTGAGTTTTAGATATTTTGACAGAGTGAAGACTGGTATGAAGAGGTGTAAAAAACAGTTTTTTCAAAAAGATTTTGACTTGCTCGACATCAACAAAGCAGTTTTTCCTTGTAAACGGAAGTTCGGTCATGATCAGCGCATTCCAAAAAACGGATCCCTGGTCTATAGCTCTACTTTCTGTTATAAGTAAGGTGATGGAGAACTACATCAGTCGGTAGCTTTTGGAGTACCTTGAACGTCTCGGCTTGAGTAGAGGATAGGCAGTATGGTTTCCGGCACCAGCGATATGCGGCGGCCCTCCTAGCTTGATCACGCAACTGTGGACTACACTGATATGTTGAGGCTCATGTCGATGCTCTCGATCTCACAAAAGCGTTCGATCAACTGTGGCTTGCTGCCTTCCTGAGCAAACTTCCATCCTATATAGCCTCCCAGAGAAGCTTTGTAGGTGGGTGGCTGACCCCATGACAAAACTGGCAGTATTGTCAATTTATGGGCCCCCAGTGGAAACCTATATGTATTTTTAAAGAAATTGACGGAAATCTGGATCATTGCTAGCAACTTGTCTGAAAAGATTATACTCTGTGGTAACTTCAACGTTGAAATCTGAAAAAATTGACTAGATATCAAGCTTCTGATTGACACAAACTCTCATGTTAGTCCAACAGCGATCGACTATATGATAAACTATCCGGATAATCAAACAAATTAATTCTATTCTAGCTGACCATTACGCTCACTTACTTAAAATATCGTATAATCATGGCGTGCAAGATAACAGCAAAAATACTATTACGTACACCAGAAGGCTTATTAGTGAAAATGGAACTAATTATTACAAACATCTAATCAAACATAATTGTGTCTAATGTATAATATGGATATCAATGGAGGTTTCGAATTTTTCATTAACTCCCTCATTTAGTGTTATAATATGAGTTGTCCACTACAGACTATAAGACACTCTGTTATATGTCCTTCCGAACAGACTAAACACATATGATCTATTGAAAAACAGAAATATTGACAGCTCATAGAAAACACAAAAAAACATACCTCAGCGACAAACCTTTAGAAGAGAATAATAAAGTGAAACAAGTTTGGTCACTTGTGAATGAAAAATCGACCAAACAGGTAAACAAATCCACATCCAATGTTTGCCTGAATATAGATGCTGATTATCGCTAACACATCTGCAGAATTCTTTACGTCCTCAGTACCTAACAACATCACAAAAACTTTCGGACAGAATATATCCTTGTCGTGTACACATTCAACCACCAGTACAAATTCAATATTAATATCCCCGGTAGCTCCTCAAGAAATCAAAACATTATTGACCAATAAACTTTCGTCTGGTTTTGATGATTTGTCGTTGAACATATCGGGAAAAGTAAAAAGCCTAATTGTTGATCATCCCTCTTTCTTGATTAATATAAGTCCATAGAAGTCGACTGTTTTCCAGATTTAATGAAAGTGGTCATGGTGGTACCAGTGTTGAAGAAAAGGGACAGTGTAAATCCTAAAAACTACCGTCAGATCTAGTTAATCAGTAGTATCGCAAAGTTATTGGGAAAGCATATGTACAACTAAATTAGCTGTTTCGTTGAAAAGGAAGGCTTATTAACAGCATCTCAACATGGATTTAGATCAACAAAATCTACACACACACAGAACCTGCCACATCTAGACAAAGGTGAATATGTAGTGTCACTACACTTTGACCTGTCAAAAGCAGTTGACACCATCCGGAAAGGATACCTACAAGAGAAATTAGAGACTCTAGGTACTCGTGGAACACCCCTGAAATGGATTTTAGCCTACATGAGTGCACGTAAACTCCATGTTAGTATCGGAAGAGTTAGATCAAATACCACGGATCTTGGCTTAGGGCTACTCTTTGATTCATATGTAAATGACCTGCCGCTTTACTTAACACGCGGGAGCGTAACTATGTTCGCTGATGACACTAGGATAACAGTTCACGGACAGAATCCTCAACAGCTCCAAAATAATGTGTAGCCCATTTTGTAGATGAATTTAGTGGCTGGTGTCAACCTGAAGGCAAAACGGTTATAATGAACTACACCATTCAAAAACATCTACCCAACGACTTTGCTATACTTTCTGGTACTCTTGAGTCCTTACTTTGATTCAAATCTTGTTTTTTTTGACCATATCGAAACTATGTGCTAAAAACTTAATAAGGCATTCTACTCCATATTACAATTAAGACACCTTAGACGAGATGGAACTACAATATATTATTCATTAGCGTACCCACATATAAGCTATAATATAATGGCATGTGGCAACAGTATTGACAAAGACAGAGTATTTGTTGGACAAAAAAGAATATTATGACTAATTTTTAGGGATTCATCAAGACAAGTAGCTTGAATTTTTTCTTAAAGACTTGACTTGACTTGAAAACTCAAGCTTTTAAAAATTTGATATTTGACTTGACTTGATTTTCGGACTGAACTACTTGACTTGATATCAAGTAAAATCAAACTACTTGATATTACTTGATAGTAGATCTGTGAAATGCGCATCGAAGCGTTAAAATAGGGGATTCACCGAGGTTAAATAGGGGGTTCACACAGCAAGCAGGCACTCGATGACGACGGACGTGCTCGTGCGATTAGTAGAGCAGCGTTGTTCAAGGATAAAGGGCGACCGCAAAAGAATTATTATGTCTGATTTAAGAAGTGATTTGTCAGAAATGGAGACGGAACCTTTTCAAAGCAGCGGCTCAGAATATATCGTAAATGAAAAAGTGTCAGAATCTGATGACACCGAACCAGAAGAAGAAAGTGCAGGGTCGGTGCCACCAAAGGGAAAACGAGTTAAAGCTAATAAAACGAATAAAATTAAGGATTATTTCATAATCGAGCAGGATTCTAAGAGTAAGAAAACTACTGACAAACAAGGCAAATGTACCCTATGTGTCGTAAAAAATACAGTTTTAAAAATGAAAAACTGTGGAACATCTTCACTAAGGAGGCATTTGCAAGCTAAACACACTAGAGTATACGAAAACATTTTTGGTAGATCCAGCCCAACTAAATCCGAAGCAGAAGCCTCTGCCAGATCGAATAGGCGTAGCACAATTACAAATTGGCTTGAGAAGGTAAAAAATTAATAATAATTAGATTTGAGCTGAAACTAAATAGTAAATAATTGTACAGGGTGGGCATTTTATTGGGGGCGTAAGCATACCTCTTCCTCAGAAACTACAGGGTGTAGAAAAAAATAATTATATAAAAGGTTCTTGGCAATCAAAAAAAATTAAATTACCTATTAGAATTTTATTTATACAGGGTGTCCGAAAAGTGCTGCACCAGAATCCTTCATTTGTTTTTTCCAACTTCATCCATTTTTGAAAAATCTTTAAAAAAACACATAAAGGAATCATGCTAGAAAAAAACAAATGCCTAATTTGGATTGCTTGATCACGAAAACCCCTTAAAAAGTTATTTTTTCCAAAATCCGGATCAGCTCATTTTAAGCCACACTTATAGTTTTATAATGTTTATTATAATCATTATAGGTTCCTTGATTTTAAAAGTCATTCTATATTAAAAAGATTTAATAAATTATTAATAAATATCGAGGTAGGCGAAATATCAAAATATTAAATAAAAGGCGGCTCTTGAACGGAAAAAATTACAACTTTCGGATAACAATTCTAAAAGTTTTTTAAATATAAGAAGTACTGTCGACTTCTAATTTAGAACCGCTTTTTTATTATATAACATAATTTTTGTTTGTTGTTATAATTATTGTGTAATGATGTCTCATTTAAAATTCTGATTTTGAAGTCGGTGCAGCAGTTTTTGGGCACCCTGCATCAATAAAACTCATCACAGCATATTTACAAAAATCTATATTGACTTTAAGACATTCTATTCAAAATTGTGGGACATGCTATAAATTTTTATACAGGGCATTTCAAAAAAACTTACTTTTTCATTTAAAAGTGGGATATTATGACGTAAACATTCATGCACCTTGCGCTGCATTTTACTAACTCCAGTTATGTTTACTTTGCAGACCACTAGTTGTTCAGAAAACTTTCAAAAAGACAAATTTCAAAAACTACTTGTGGAATATATAGCATAGAAGTATCTCCCTTTCAACTTTTTTGAAGATGCTATAAGTGGAAAAATGTACAAATTCCTAAATCCAAAGGCAACTCTACCTGGTCGGAATCAAATGAAATCTTTGACATTAAAAACATTTGCAGCAGCGCAGCAAACAATTAAGTCATTTTTGAAAACATATAATTCAAAAATCTCGTTCACAATCGATGGATGGTCTTCTTTTAATATGAAGGGGTACTATGGTATTACCGCCCATTTTATCGATAAAAATTGGAAACTTCATTGTATCCTTCTAGATTTTGTGCCAGCACATGGGCAACATACTGGTAATGCAATTGCAAAGCTATTTTTCGAAGTATTACAATTCTACGATGTTACAAAATGCATACAAGGTATTACTACCGACAATACAAATAGTAATTTTACGTTCATCAGAGAACTTCAAACGCATATTTCTGAAATCGATACAAAAAATATCCACTTTGTATGTTTTGCACACATCTTAAACTTGGCAGCTAGAGATTTTATGAAAATCCTTGATTCTGAGGTTGAAGAAACCGCCAACATTTTGACAGATATATCAGATGATGATGATGATGACTGCCAAGTTCCGCCCTCTTCTGTAAGAAAAATCCATTCCCTTGCTAAAAAATTAAAAAACTGAACATTTACGTGAAGATTTTGAAAAATTTTGCACCACTTTAAACCTGAAATTTACTATGCCAAAACTTGATGTCATAACAAGGTGGAACTCCACGTTAGACATGTTGAGATGGAGTCTAAATATGAGAAACGCACTTAACATCCTTTGTGATAATGTAGAAAATTTAAAAACTTTAAAGCCAACCGACACAGAATGGTCGTTAATTGAACGAATTTGCCAGTACCTTAATGTTTTTAAGAGTATTTCCATAATTTTAGAAGGTGAATCATATGCTACTTTACCCATGGTAATAATCGGCATTAATATGTTGCTGGATAGACTAGAATCGTGGGCTATGGTACTTGACAATAAACCTGATCGAGATGAAATCGATGAAAAGATTATAAATAGTATTCAAGCGGCAAGGGACAAAATCATTAGACATTACGAACGGACTAACTGGATGTACTGTGTTGTCCTGATTTTAGACCCCCGACATAAAGTGGATACATTCTCCAATACAAGTTGGGGAAAAGAGTTGCAGATAGAAGCAATTAAACATATTGAAGATATTTTTAAAGCACAATATTTTAGGGCTGACTCTCTGCAAATTTCTGAACCATCACTTCAAGTAGCAGCATCTTCAAACCCTAGTAAAGATAGTAGTGTCGAAAAGTTTGAAATAGATCTACAAAGTTTGTTTAATAGAAAACCTGCCCATAATGCAGACGACGATATGGCCTGGCGTTACGAAATCGACTAATATATTTCTGACCCAAGAGCTGACAGTACTGAAGATATTTTAGAATGTTGGAAGAGACACGAATGCATTTTGCCAAACCTTGCCGCAATGGCCAAAGACTTTTTGGCAACGCCAGCTTCTTCAGCTCCAGTTGAAAGGCAGTTTTCTAGAGCTGCCTTAACTCTTACCAAAACAAGAAATCGATTAGGCGATAACTCCGTTAGAAGCCTTTTGTGTCTCAAATCATGGATGGCAAATGAGGATATTAAAGATTTATTTTAGATATTCATTTTCATGTTTGTTGATTTTCTATTGTTTTATTGTCAGAATTCAGAATATTTCGCATTTTTGTTTCATATTATTTCATGTATTATTAAACTGAGTTTGTTAGAGTTTTCGTTTTTAGATGTTTTTTAAATAAAAGATTAAATCTATATATACATAGATTTTTATTGTTATTCCGTTTTGGCAGTTGAACAGATTAATATCAAAAAAGTACATTTTTTCAAGAAAAATCAAGTAGTTAGCTTGAAAACTTGATTTTCAAGTTACTTGATGTGTAACTACTTGACTTGACTTGAATTTCAAAAACAAATACTTGACTTGATCTTGACTTGATATCAAGTCAAATCAAGTCAAGTAGCTTGAAAATCAAGTCAAGTCGTGAATCTCTACTAATTTTTAATATTCCGCCTGTAAATACACGTATATCCACGTATAAATCGAAAAAATAACTGTACCTTATGTTTACATTTTTAAGTGCATTTTATAGGTTTGGAAAAACATGTACCAGTTCAAGAGACTAGGACAGTACCACACATATACTAAGTGACATATAAATCCGAACACCCAGTTTAAATGGTTTTATTTTAATAAAATTTTGTATAAGTACTTAGTGAAGTATAATAAGTAAATGATAAAAATTTCAAAATGATTGCACTGCTTTAAAGCCCTTTGACCTTTAATAATGTGTGGAAGCACCCTGATGTGCTACGCATTCTCCAACGCGCCTAGGCATGCTTCTGATCAGGTGGTCAATGTCCTCATGTGGTGTCTCATTCCAGGCAACCACCAACTCCTCTCGAAGTGCTTCTAGAGTCTAAGGAGGACGTTGCAAATTGAGCAATCTCCTACCCATCATATCCCACACGTGCTCAATTGGGGATAAGTCGGGAGATCTTGGTGGCCATGGTAACAATGTGACATCATTATGTTGAAAGAAGTCTATTGTGACTCTTGCAACATGTGGTCGGGCATTATCTTGTTGGAAAGTTGGATCTGCCAGGGTCTCAAGATAGGGTAAAAGATGGGGTTCTAGAACTTCGTGGATATAACGCTGCGCGTTCATGTTACCTCTGATGAAGATTAAAGGTGACCTGGAACCATAAGCTATAGCACTCCAAACCATAACTCCAACAGTGTGATGAACATGTCTTTCAACAAAAAGCTGTGGATTCCTCCTTTCACCACGTCGCCTTCTAACCCTGGCACGACCATCGTGCATGCCTAAACAAAATCGAGACTCGTCACTAAAGACAATACTGTTCCATTCCTGATCCCAGAGTGACCGTTGTCTGCACCACTCAAGGCGATTACGTCGGTGTTCTCGAGTTAAAGGGAGGACCCAGTGTGGCCGGTATGAAAACAAGCCAAAACTTCTCATTCGTCGGTAAACACTTCGCATGCCAATAGGTCTTCCGTGTTCTGCAAACCATTCATTTGCAATGGACCTGGTAGTGGAGAAACGGTCCCTTAAGGCCAATAATCTTAGGCGGCGATCTTCACGGTCTGTTGTTCTACGGCGGCATCCAGTGCCCCTTGCTCTTTGCGTACGGCCTTCACGAAGCCATGCCTGACAACACCTAACGACAGTGTCTACACTTCTTTGCACTCTAACTGCAATTGCCCAAAAAGAAAGTCCAGCTTCCCGAAGTTCCACTATACGGCCCCTATCAAACTCACTAAGTTAACGAAATCGTACAGGTCTCCGTACTCTAGGCATCGTAACCGATCGTAAAGGATGTCAAGAACCAAAATCCGCCAACGTTGATTCTTTACTGCGGCTGAAATATTCATTTTTAGAGCGTTAGTGAATTAAAAAAAAGCAGTATAAAAACCGGAATGTCCAACTGATAAGGCTGAAAATTTTGTCACTTGTTACTTACAGTAAGATAAATACATTTACCAACTTTTATTAAAATAAAACCATTTAAACTGGGTGTTCGGATTTATATGTCACTTAGTATATAATACCAGAAACAGTGCGACATTAACTATCCTCAAACACAACACCAGTCGCTTCAAGCACTCACCTCATTACAACTGTGTACCTAATATTTTATAATAAGCTGTATCAGCATCTTAAAAAAATAAGAACATTCAAAAATATTAAATATGGAGTGAAATCATTTTTATCAAGTGAAAGGTTTTATACAATTGATGAATTTTTACAACACAAGGACAAATAGTATAATTAAATATAATTTATCCAATATTTGTTTATGTCTTGGCATGCCAAATCTACTTTGTATCTATAAGGTTTCTGCTGTGATCTCTTATTTGTTTATTTGCTTATTTATTTTTCTCTTCCTATTGACCTGCCACATATACTTATGGTATGCATCAACATGGCAAATAAACACTACTACTACTACGATTAGTACTTCCTCTCTGGCCGCAAGATATCCGTCGTAGTTGAGGGGTTCTCCTCTTCACCCCACAATACCGAAGCGGGTGTTCCCCAGGGATCGATCTTGGTTCCGACATTGTTTCTCTTACATGTCAACGACCTCCTTTCCTGTACCACCATTCCGATCCACAGCTTTGCCGATTGCAACACTCAGCATGCAGGAATTCAGAGTCGCACGCTGGTCTCTGCCGGAGAGCTGGAGAAAAGAAGACTAGCAGCGACTCCCGCTTTTACAAGAAACCTAAAGGTTATCACTGGTCTGGAACGCAACAAAATAATACTATTTAATGCTTCCGAAATATAGTACTGCATCTTAACTAACAAGCGCCCTAGCGCTCATCCGGTTTCGATGGATGGTCGTGTTCTACCAAAAAGCAGGTTATTCCGGCGGGTCGGAGCCCAAATTAACGAGGACTTGGCCTGTTACGTCAATAACGCAGCTGTTGAGAATCTAAGAGAAACTAGGCTATTTGTTCAAGGCCAAAATTACTGTTCTCCACATAACCTCCTCACTCTGTACAAGGCCCAGATAAGACCTAACCTCGAGTACTGACTCAACGTGGCAACGTGGTATGGAGCTATGCGGTATAGCCTGTTAGGATTATTCGGATTTTCGCTATTTCTAAGTTAATACATTTTTCGAAAAGTGCATCTGTGAACATCTGGACGTGTGGTGATCAGTTTGGATATAAAGATTGCCTATATTTGCATTCTCAAAAGTGTATACAGTACGGTCGGGTTCTGGAATGCGGCGTGAACAGTGAGCGCCGTTGTCACGTTGTAACAAGATTCCGGTTACCATGAGCTATTCCGGTGGAGAAACAAAACGGACAACTTCACGTTCGGTTAGCAGTTCATGTGAATGTGCTGGTTTGGCTCAGATATTATCTGACGTCAAAAAGAAACTGGATGCTTGCTATAAAATAATTAATGGTCAAAACTCAAAAATAGAAGAGCTCAATACAACTGTTGCTGATTTATGTAAAAAACTGGAGGAGAATGAGAAGAATAGAGAAACAAACATGGTCGTTGGTGAGCCCAAGGTTTCTTACAGCAATGCTGTAAAGGGAAACACGAGTAGAGGTCATGTATTGCTGGTGAAGCCTAACAGTAACATCGATGTAGCATCCTTGAAGCAGAAACTGCTGAGTAAGGTAAATCCTGAAAGTCTTCAAGTCGGTGTGCAAATCAATAAAGCTAATAATAACGGTGACATTGTTCTGAAGTGCGATAACCAACGGTCGTTAGAAATAATTAAGAAATCGATTGAAACTAATTTGTCAGGCAATTGCTCTGTTCAACTGCCAAAAAAGCGAAATCCTCGAATTAGAGTGATAGGTGTTAACAAAGATCAGTATGATGTTGATTCTCAAGTTCTTAAAAGCAAAATTATGAATCAAAATAGCAGGCTCGTCAGCCATGATGACGCTGTTCTTAATATAGTATATAAGTTTCCAATTAAAGGTGCAAAATTTGATCTTGTTATTGAGCTAGATCCTAAGTCATATCAGTCAGTGATAGGGGAAGGGAAGTTGAATATTGGATGGGATAGATGTCGTATTTATGAGCATTTGTCAGTGATACGCTGTTTTAAGTGTCAGTATGGCCATATACAAAAAAATTGTAAAAATGCATTTGTATGTCCTATTTGTGCTGGCAGTCACGAACGGAAGCAGTGTAAAAGCAAATCGTCATGCTGTGCAAACTGTCTGTCTATTAATTAAAAACAAGATAAAACGCTAGATACGAACCATGCTGTGTGGGATAGTAATTGTCTGTGTTTGCAAAAACATGAGGGTCTTATACGA